TTTTTGCCCTTAAAACTATATAACATGTTACTAAAGATATATTTCTTATTAACATTATTAGTATAAAGATATAATATTATGTAATTCAAATACATTTATTTCTGTAAGCGGCGACGCGAAAATGGATTTCTAGAATATCTAGAATGTTTATTTTAATATTACATATATTGTTTTAAATGTAGGACGCTTCAAGTAAGATTCAGATTTTTAAAGTAGGTAGGTATATAGTTAAAAAAATCCGTTACACAATTCCGATTTTTAGGTAAAAGTGTATGAATAAGCTTGTCAAAAGGTTTTATCGAATCAAAAGAAAGTTTCAGACATATAGAAAACTGTGATTTTACCTTAATAGATTTTTTCTGTCCTGATTTAAACTTGACCTTCGAAGAAACCTGAAAAAAAATGAGTAAAAAGTTGTCATATCTTAAGTTTATAACATGTTTTTAAGTTTAGGAAAACGTTCGTAGAAGCCTTTATTTATGATAATTTATTTCCATCTTGTAAGTGGAACGTTATTGAGAGTAATTTTCCAACATATAAACAAGATATAAAACTTTGGTTGAAAGAAGAAAACTCAACAAGAGTAGTTACACTGTAATAAGAAGTAACTACATATTAGGTATATACTTTTTTTACTCTGAGGTGATACAAATTAATGAAGAATTGGAAGAAATATCATCATACTCGCAGTTGAATATCACATTCAACTTAGCACTCGAAGTCTTAATATGGAAAGGAATACTATTCTACCACGGCCATTTTAAAAAGATCCAAGTTATACCTTTTTTATGTCAAAGAAGGCAAATGAGCAGACGACCTGCTTGATGGGAAGTAGTCACGGTCGCCCATGGACATCTGCAACGTAAGAGATGTTGGTTGTTAAAAGAAGAATGGTTGGGAATAAGGAAACAGCAACCGATTCTCCCACTCATCGGACGAAACGCAGACTATTTCACGTCGATCGTGAGAGCATAATATTTGTCCAGTCGAGCCAGTCCCTGTTCGAGATATAGTTAGAACTTAAAATTATTCTTCCAATACTTCTTGTTATCAACAGTGGAATACTGAAGTATAAATTTTCACACAAACAATTATTAAACACCACCACGAGCCATGAGGCTTGGCACTAATAACTAACCAATTATCATTGAATTAAGTTCCAGTGTAAATGTAAGGAATTTTTTTAAATAAACTTTTTAAATAATTTACAAATAAGAAAGCCGACCGATTTTGAGGATAAACTGCTAAGCACTTTGTAGGGTAAAAAGTATCTCCGAAACATAATCTTGACCTAAAATGCCTTTCCGTAATGCTCTAACTATTTTACTTCAACTACCAGAGATTCGAATGAAGTTCTTATTTCTGTACTACGAGTGCTCCAGTATTGACTTCGATTTTAACTTAGCTATTGTTTATTGAAGGTATCAATTAGCTTTCAAAGCCGAGGTCACCAGCTATAAAACAACACTGTTTGCTTTCTCAAAACATCCACAGTTTAAATTTCTTCTCGTTGAATTCTTACAATCACTTGTAGTACATAGACGGACCTTTAAGGGTCTTAAAATTTGAGTGCTCCATTGTATCTTCTAGTCAGTCATAGTCAAACTAGGAAACATTCTAAGTTGTTTATATAATGCCATCGTTTACTTCCATCTCTGTATTATTATACCTATCCTTCTCTAAAATGATTTAGTGTTTAATCAGAATAAAAAAAAACTTAGAGAGGCAACAGTCACGTTGCCAAAATATGGACTTTTATTAAACTTTCAGATGGCACATACTTAATACATAGGTACTTCTTAATTGTACAAGAGTTGCACAATGCCTTTTGGCATTTGTTATCTTTGTCGTATTTTTCATTATATCGTATGTGCCAAGTACCCTATCCCTCAAAGGAAATTAACAACAGAAAGATTAAATCAAAGGAAAGATGATGAAATGTACTTACAGTACGGTTTTTTAATTGATTTACATTTTCTACAGGTAGGTATAATTGTTCCTTCAAATGGAATTCAACTCGGAATATCATTTGAAACGAAGTTAATGCAGTTTCAATCTAGCTGTAATTGAATTTTAAAAAATGTGCTCTAATTTCACCTTGTACAGTAATAACATTCTTTATTTCTCTAAAAGGTACATTTAAAGTAAATGACGTTGCATTATTTCAACAAATAGTTACTGCATAACGGAACAGAACCGCTCGTAGTTATGTAATGAGGCGTTTTAACGGCGTAGAGTAGGTATATAATAAAAATATTTATAGTATTCTCATTGTTAAATAATCTAATGTGCTTTATTTGCTTAATAGCTTTACTTTCTTGAAAATTACAAGTGTACCGTCAGGAATAACAAGACGTATAAAACAATGCTAATTTTCGAAATTGTTACAATTTTTTTAAGAATTCTTTGTGCTGGTAATATAACTAGTCTTCTTTAATAAGTATTATTATTATACAATAAAGCATTTTTTCCATTCGACAAACCCCTTCGTGCTTTCTCCAAACAGAACTCAAGATTATGATTCGACCAACAAATAAAAACTTTGATTTTTAAATATTCGACTAATCCAGGAAGCCATATCATAAAAAACGATTTTCTTAAATTATATTTTAAAAAATATTCATATATTAATTACCAACCAAACTTAATAAAACATGCTTTATTATGAATTTCATTAATGTTCAAAAATCTGTAGTATAATAATATAAAACTGATAAGACAAAATCTTCAATTGTACTTATGAATTAATTATGAAAAAAAGTGAACTGGCTCGATTAACCATCCTAGACGATTTAAAAAACTGATTTTTTTTTATATATCGTCGATGAAGTAACAATACCTCCTAACTGAGAATTTAGTTCAAAAGTACTTTTTATTACAATAGACGTAAAACTCATATTCGCACAGATTGACTTTACTCCTATCCAATATTTCTTTACCAAACAGTTTCTTGAGCTATGTGAAAATATCTACTAGGTGGCAGAATTCATTCATTCGTATATTTTACAGTTTTATTCTTCTGGTGTAAAATTAGATTCTCAACACTTAGGAGGTATTGGTACTTCATCGACGGTATGGTAACTCACCAGAAGTCGTATTCGGGACCGAGAGGTTAAAATAAAAGCCAACATTTGTTTTCCACTTCATACTCACTGTATGTATTTATTTATTTTATCTTTTTTTTGTATATTTTTTTTAATTTATTTTAAAACTTCTTTTAAATCAAACTTTATATTATTATTAAATATATCTCGTGTGTATTTACATCATCTGTACATTATGTACACCGTTATATACACCAACAGTTACTAGACTACACAAAACTTTATAAAATACAAAAAAAAAGGAAAGAAAAAATCTAGGTTTTCCAAAAAACATATTCAAACGATTCCATTTAAGATATATATATTATATCATAAGCTATAAATATTTTGGATTTTATACATACTTTGAGTTCAACTTAATGATTTTTTTTATATATTTTCAGTTTAGCAAAAAGTATACAAAAACAGTTATTATTGTCTAAAACAAAGACAGTCTGTTAAACTAAATTTGCAGTAGAAATTACAGTCTAGTGTTAATCATTTTTTCAACGACTTATATTAAATACGTTAAAAACTTATGTGACATTTCAAAATATATATATAAAGTATTTAATTTTTTTTTTATATAGAAATCATTTAATATATTTTTCTTACTAAATTTAGCCGTTGGCAGTTTTTATTGCGTTTGCATTCACTACAATCCAACAAGTTCTCACCCCTACTATCAGTTTCACAGTTAACATAATAAACGTCGTTTCTGATGTTATATAAATAAACGCGATTTAGATAGTTTACGTTAACTTTAAAACTCATACTTCGGATACCGATAGTTAAAAAATTTTAATTCATTATGCTAAAATTACATTATCATCAAGTTTAACATAAAATGGAGTTTATAAATTGAGTACATTTTTTTTATTTAACAATTCAAGAGATCCGTTTTGTCGTTTAGTTTCTGAACACAAGCGATCATATATACATCAAACAAAATATATACCGCTTTATAATGTAAAAATATATATTTTAACTACAAATGCTTATTCTACAATGGATATTTAAAAAACAGTGCACGCTTAGATGACCTAGTACTAACACAACCGACCGTATGGAGTACATGCTGCAAATAACCAGAAATATTGTTGATTTATATATATGTATATTCATATGGAGTTATAAGTACACCTACCACGTGTGAACCATACAAAATACGGTTAATAGCTAGTTTTTCACTCAAAACTCCTTACGTATAGTATGACGTTGGTTTATAGACAGAAAACTTGCTACTATCAGTATTGAGTGTAAGCACGTGTGGTAAGTTTAAAGGATGTGTTAGTCATAACAACATAAAATCTACATAACTATACCATAACATTTCAAGTTAAATCAATGTTTTCTAATCATATATTGGTGTTAAAACATGACTTACGCTACAAGGAACAGCTTTATGCCGCTGCCGACCGATTTCGTACCTTAAAATCGAACAATTTAAGTCGATAATCGGTCAGCCGCTTGTCATTCTTAACTAAGCCATAGAACCATCATAGGTTAGCGTCACAGTAGAAATTTTGTTAAAGATTTTGCTCTTCAAATACACAATGAAAACTTAACAATCGTCCGTGACCTACAGCGGCATACTTCACTTACAGTCCATACATATAGCATACATTATTATATTAATATGAAATCTGTTACAAAAACCGTCGTAGACCATCATAAATTGAGCTATCACATGTACAATACAGCTACAATTCATTATTAAGCTAATCACGACACGAGTCTCATTATATATCAGTCAGAATGGGAAATAATCACACGGTACCGGTACGGACGATATTGATGAAGAAAATTATTTTGTACTGAATAATCGATTATTGCCATCATTTTCCACTCTAACTCGCTCGCATTCCACACTATGTATGTATGTTCGTCACAGACACTTTACTCGCGAGGTATTTATCATCGTGTGTAGCCGCGTCTCTTGCGGTGACGGTCCGGTCTGTCGTTCCGGTCCTGTCTGTCGGACCGGTCGTTACGTTGGGCTCGGCCGCGGGGGGGCGAAGCGCGACGGCGGGGCCGCGGCCGGGGGCGGAGCACCCCTGCAAGCGGGTCTTCATGTCGGTCAAGATGGTGTTTGGATAAACATAATGGAGAAAGGCCAAAACAAAAAAAAACACAAAATAATAAAAACTAATCAGGGTGTTAGAATGTCTACTTGGATGTTAATAAATAATAATAGAATATAAATATTAACTAGTTTAACACATGATTTAGACATAAAACTCATGCAATTTAATAAAAAAAAAAAACAATAAACAAAGTATTGAACAAAATAACAATAACGATTAGAATTAAAAGTTACATAGGAAATAAGACTGAAAGATTATATTAAACACAGGATTCGAACCTGTTGTATCTATCACAGTCACTTAACCAACTGAACTATCGTGACATCAATAACTCAACTTGTGGATAGTTATATTGGATGGTATATTTTTGTAATTTTAATTGTTATTATCATCGAAGGCAGCTCTAGTAGGTTTTTTCAAATTTGATAGAGAGAGGAGCTTTAGATAGGGCCCCCTTAAACCTACACCTGGGTCGCAAGTCCCAGTCACTGTTGAAGCTCCTCTCACTACAACGATGGACCTGACACCCGCACGGTGAATACATTGAATGCTCATATATTTTGTCTTATATATTATATGAATATATTATAAATTATAGACCTACCCGATGGTATATTATTGAAGTCCGAATTGCTCGTTATATGGTGTATTATTAGTGACTGGTGAGCCGACACTCTCCGCGGTGTTGGAGATGAGCATTGTAGGGCTGACAGCGGTGGCGGGGACGTGCGGGCCGGACCTGAAGGACCCGAGCCGTCTGACCACTCCTGGAATTAACCATACGTAATATTAGATTATAAATTTTATTATTTTAAATATGTAGTATTAAGATAATATTTGTATACTGGCAACATTGTGCATCACTCGGAACACAGAACTGATTTGTGAAATTGTAAAACGGTTAACTTTTCGTACTAATAGAATTATATCAAGTTTATAGAAATCATTGTATAACTTTTCTAGGGATTGATCGAGCTAGATAGAGTATGAATGAATGAATAAAGATTGTGCATTGTCCATGTTTTAAATGGAAGTTAGTTTAAAAAAAATTGTTTATAATAATAAATAACACCAATTATAATGTACCTAACATAACATTAACAAAACATTTTGTTCACAAGATATTTAATAATATAGACACGGTCATATTGTACAGTGATGATGTATACAAACTTTTCTTATTTCGCGTGCTCAAATTGAAATATAGTGTTAATTGTTTTATAAATTCAAAAATATATATGTAAGAAATACGGAAATAAAAATATATATTAGAGCAATATACATCATCATCAGCCTATCATAGCCTTGCTGACCAAAGCCTTTTGTCACATGGAGAAAAATACATTGAAGTGTAATAAATATAGTGTGTATGCTATATTATAGAATTTAGAATTAAGTCTCCTTTATAAAATATCTCATGTATACATCCAAATATGGTGGACCACCCATTGGCCCAAGCTTTCATTATGCTATGTTAAAATCTTCTAATATTATTATATATGACTTTAAAGCTACAAAGACGTTTCTTTTCAAACCCAGTAATTAACCACATTATATATACCTACTCAGCCGTTTTCGGCTATAGTGACTTAGCTTTGTTTTATATTGTTAAAAATAGGTAATATTTAAGACCTGCGATGCGACCTCATGTCACTAAAGTACCCAATCTTAGCACTAAACGTGCGACCACGAGTGTCACAAGTCAGTGTACCATTTACATAATTGTATGTTATATTAGCAGGTGGACGTGCTTTTATTCGGTCGCGTTTGAGATCCAGTTCTAGTTTCTATTAACCACATTAGAACACCATCAAATACTTATACTCACGGGGTCAGTATCTGACGGTGTAGGGGTCGGTGTTGGTGTGGGGTCGGGGGTTGGCGAGCGTGTGTTCCCAACCCTCCGCGGCCTCACGCGGTGCGGGAAGAAGAACGGCTCGAATGTATCTCTAACCCAGCGCCTGTATTGTAACACGTGATCCGTGACGCGGACGACACGACCCAATACACTGTGTCGAGCTAGCAACGCGTTGTGAGGCGCTACGGCTTGTTGGAGGATAATGTAGCCGTAGTCGAACGCCTGGAAATAATAACAGATTTATTATATACTAGCTTCGCCCGCGTGGAGTTAATTTATATAGCGTTTCCAAGAGAACTTTCAAAAGTCTGCGATAAAAACTATTCTATGTTCTTTCTCAAGGTCAACTCAATGTCTGTACCAAAATTTCATTAAAATCAGTTCAGTGGTTTAGGCACAGTTACTTTTTCATTTATAATATTAGTAGGGATTATACATGACACAATATTTATATAGACACAGTTTATATTTCATTATAAATGAAACTAATATTTTTGGATCCACTACACGTTTTTGATTATTTTAAATTACATGCTATGCTCTCGATTTTTCGGTTACTTTGCAGCAACCGTGATCAAGATAAAATCGCGTAGCAAATCCGGAAATATTAGTCTTATTTACGTATCATTGTGTGTTTCATTATTTTTATACATATTTTCATATAAACACAGGTATTTCTCGAAAAATAAATATTAAGAGTGACGGTTCGAGAAAAATTTGCTTGTTAAATACATAACAATCATATTGGGTAACACACACCATTTTTTTTTTGCAAGACCTAAAATATATAAACACATAAAATATATTCATTTTATATTCTATATTAACAGCTTATTAGCCAATAATTTGGTAGTTTAAAAGGAACAAACACACATACATACAAGAAATAATTATTTGCAAACAATATTTTATTATACAATATTAACATATTATAAGTTATAATAAAAAACATAATAAACATTTTAAAATATTCTGTTACTTGGTCGAGCACAGTTTGTTTCACCTCATCATCATCACAACTAGTATAATATACCTGTTTAACTTGTATAGCTCCGTAGCTAGACCGTCCGATGTCGTTGCCAGGTGTGAGGGGGTCCTCGATACACAGGAGCGAGGGTCTGTGGCCGTCGTTCATCTCCTGAAAGATTATTACATATATTAAATATAGAATTATTCAGCTATATCATTATTACATCAACTATCTGTCTAAGTGTCTAATCAAAATCGATCCAGCCCTCTCAGATATGAGATTGAAAAAGTTTAAATGTTGTCTTGGTGTGTAGATTTTGTTATATTAATATTATAATTAGACACTTGAAATTCTATGTATTGATTTTAATCATATTACAAAACATATACAGGGTGACTGGTGAATTACTATCGATACTTGAGGACGTGATATTTGACGATCATATATGACAAAATAAAAATTAATATAACAAATATTAATAAACTTCTAAGTAAAGTTAACCAAAAGTTATGTAATTAATTATCGTGTGAACACCGTACAGATTAGGTATACACACACACACACACTCGTGCGGCGGCGTGGTGTTGTATCAGCACGCCGCCGCACGCGTCCACACTTGGAACACGTGGAACGTGTCCACACTTTATTTATTTATACGGAAATTTGGTCAAATATTAAGTACCTATTTTGTTTTACATAATTCGAATGAGAATCATGTACCGAGTATTCTCCTTAAATATTGATAGTAATTCACGAGTCACCCTGTACTTTTCATGTTACTAACTTGTATTTTGATTTAAATTTAACTGCTTTACTTTTATGTTTATTTTTGCTTGCATAAGAATGATATTTCAAATAAATAAATATATCGTCGGTGATAGTGCAAAATGCAAATCTGCGTAACTATTATTAGATAATTCCGCGTACATTGGAATCAGGTTATCAGAAGAAGGTTTAAGCTGATATATTTACTAAATTAACGACTTTAAAGGTAATTTTTGTTCACAATCAGTAATTATTTAGTTTTCCATTCATTACCAATTGTGAAAAAATTACCTATAGTCATTAATTTAGAAAATATTCACTATTATATCTGAAATTGATCAAACTTCCCTAGCAATAAAATGTACATACCTTAGAGATCTCATCTTTAGAGACATACGATCCTCCATTCTTGACCCTGATGGCTGTTTTCACATAATTGAATTTCCTTCCATACAACTCAAAGAACTCAATCAACAACACTCCAAGGTTATGTCTTTGTCTTAGTCGTTCTGGCCGTGGATGTAGTTGAAGGAAGCTTATACACATGAGGATGAGTGAATATGAGGAGATGCCTCCGGTGAACACTTCGTTGAGGTCACGTTGGAGCAAGAACTGCTTCAACACCATCACTAGACGAGATAACTCTGGGTATTGCTCCTGGAATAGTTGAAATACATATGTGGTTATAGATCAAAGTTAGCATTAATTGGATTCAGTAAGGGTGCAAGGTAAATAGTTTTAGGGATATATACATCTATAAATCCCTGAAATTTTTTAGGGTTAATATTTTTAGAGTTAAGTTATATTTGAGCCATCTTATTTATTGATAGATGTTTATTAAAAATAAAATAATATCTTGAATTGTTATTTTAATAAAAATAAGAGAGTATTTATGTGTTCATGTTAATTTATATTAAAAAAATTATACAATCATAATATGACTCACTATACTTATATGACGACTTTAGTACTAGTAAAAATGAAATTTTCTTTACCATGTAAAATTAGAAAAATCTATTTATAATAAATCAATTGGGCTAAATTCAAGTGAAGTTCAAAATGTTCTTTCCACGGAAGAATTTTCCGAATAATATATTGAATATTTAGCAAGAAAATACTTCTATTAGTCTGTATTCAAGAAACGAACATTTAAGTTAAAAACCGCTTTTACAATATATAATACCCACTAGTACATATGCAATATATTTTTGTTATCTCTGCCCCAACCTACAGTCAGCAGATGAATGACTGGCTTTACATGCAGATAGTACAGAGATAAATATATTATATAATAATATTGTATCATAAAATAATTATAATATTAAATATGACATAAATTATATATCTCCATGTATGTATGTTCTTCACCTAAAATTACTGAACATGTATTTAGTTTTTTAACTCTATCATATTAAAATGAGTGTTTATTGTTTTAAATATAGGAAACAATTTATTTATGATTGAAAAAAAATCATCTCTTCTTATGAAATTTAACAGCCCAATATAAATAAAATGTATAAAAATATATATATTTTATATAATGGCCAGTATTAATGTACTTAAAATACTGTTTTTTTATTCATATAAATAAAACACTAAAAGAACATTTATTAAAACAAGTCGCTCTAAATCGAACCAGTGATTCCTATTTACCGCCACTTTTCAATATGAACCATCGCGACAGATCAATAATAAGCTTTATGTCGTCTTTTTATCACATAATTTGATGTACATATATAATTATTGATGATACAATCTCAATTAAACCTCCATTCAGTATGACTTTCATCTTATATTGAAACCTAAGAAGAATATCAGTTTTTGAATGCTCTGAATTACCTTGAACTGTTTGATCAGCTCCGCACTCTTGACGCCACTGCTCATGTTGAAAGAAATGTCCACCTGAAAAAAACATGACACACATATTTAATATAATATAATTATATATATTTTAGATCGAGTAAGAGTAAATCCCTACTAATATTATAAATGGGAAAGTAACTCTGTCTGTCTGTCTGTTACGCTTTCAAACCTAAACCACAGAACTGATTTTTATGAAATTTAGTACAGAGATAGAGTTGACCTTGAGAAAGAACATAGGATAGCTTTTATCGCAGACTTTTGAAAAGTTCCCTTGGAAACGCGATATAACCGAACTCCACGCGGGCGAAGCTGCGGGCGGAAAGCTAGTAAGGATATATGGTAATAATCAGGTCAAATGATGTTTAATTCTTCATACATACTAACTTGGAGATATATCTTGACGTGTTTAAACATATATAATATGATGATTTCCATCAAAGTACAGTTCTACAACTATGAACTAGTTATGTCAACATATCGTCTGGGATAGTGCAAATCGGCGTAACTACCACTGGAGAATTCCGCGCACCTACCTTGGTCGAAAATCATAAGAAGAAAGTTTGAGTATAAATATTTTCTAGATTGATGACTTTTAAGGAAATTTTTACACAATTAGTAATAAATTAAATATTTACTATAATAATATATCTATGATAATCTGCTTTGCACTTTTGCATTTGCACTATCCCCGACGATATATAATAAATATGTTTGTGTGTGCATGTGCATGTGTATGTGTGTCTGTGTGTTTGTGTGTGTGTGTGTGTGTGTGTTTCATTTCTAACCTTAACGTCAGAGTACTTGTCGGTCATCTTGACTATAGGGACGGTCGCTTTCTCCAACACCTTGATGCTGTCTTGCTCCGCGATGTCCTGGGCCACTAGCTCTCGCTCCAGAGTCCACAGAGGCAACTTCTCCCATTGACCTGATTATTTAATATGGTTCCGTACATATTTTTTACTAATACAGGCTATCTGATAGATACGTTTTTACCTTTACTTCCCTAAACTTCTCATGATTATAGGCTGAAAATAAACTAGGAAAGACTTTCTTTTTACTGTCCCAAAAAAAAATCATCAGCCAAACAGAATTCTTCCATTTAAAAACCCCACTTTAAATAATTTATACATTCTAAGTATGACAAGTTCTATGTCTAAATATATGTTTGACAAATCTATTTATTCAACTTGAGAGCACTAGATAGCTCTGAAGATTCATCCCCAGGGAAATTAATGTCCAATAGACTAAGACATAGACGGAAAATGGATCGAAGAATATACTTAGTTATAGAAATCCCGTTAATACTTCTTATCGAAATAGTCCTCAGTAACTTAAAAAAAGGAATTCCAAAAAATCTTAGATAATATTATTTTTATAAAGCTAAACATTTTAAATCTTTTTAATGGCAAAAACTGGGCCAAGTACTGTCGTAAACAGACAAAAATATTGGCCTTATGAAACATATATGTATTTTAAATGCATAAATGATAAAGTTACTGCTAAAAAATATTACGATGTATTAAATTATAGTTTAAAAACATACGGAAACTAAAATCATACTAATAAAATTAAAATATCTCTTTATTTTGTCCTAATAAATACTTTTTGTGGTAATTTTCGCTTTGTTTAAAATTAAATCGTTCAATCAAATAAAAAATTATACATATTTTATTTATTTTATTTTATTTTATATATCTTGATAACTACACTGTCATAGAGGTTCATAGACAATTTTTTTCTTTCTATATCATTATGACAATGTCATGACAAACGTCTATTCAAGGTAATATGCTTGCAATAGATAGATATATATATTTTTTTTATATAACAGCATTTTTCATACATCTAAAGGTATGTCCATAGTATAGAGATTATTTTAATAAATACAATTTATTTATTAAAGATATAATGATATCATTTAAATTATTTATCCGTGATAAATCTTCCTATCAGTCATCATGTTTTTGGATTTGTCACATTTGACACAGATTTCCAGTTCTAATAACATAACAGTGTTATTGTAGAAGTATAAAAAATTATTTTTTTCTATTAAATTTAACATTTCCAATTTCCATAATAATTTCCAAGTATGCGCTGTATTTTTTTTAATATCACATACCCATTTGTAGCTGCAATTTTTTTAAGTGAATATTTATAGTCAAATTGATTTCATTTCAAAAGTACTATTTAAAGGAATTTATGAAAAAAATTAAATCAAATAAGTGTTTCTTCAAGAAAAATATCTTTATATTCGAAAATTAGTTAAAATAAGAGCAAGGTATAAAACTATATCATATACCCTTAGTACAAGTAGATTTTTGTACCATAAATCGTATCGTAAAACACATAACAGTTTCGTAAATACGTTAAAACCGTCAGTTATACGTGTGACCATGATAGTAAGGTTATTGTACTGTATTAAGACGAATATATTGCTTGTATAACACTGATACAGTGACATAAAAATAATTTGATAACGTTATCATTACTGATAAGAGTTATCAGCTACCACCGAATAAGTACACAAATTTTTGCTTCAACACTAGTAGCTTAAGCCATAAATTCTTTTTCCAGGGTCATTCTTTTCAACAGCTGTTTTTAAAAAACTTCATTACTATGGGAAAGCTGACATTTCTCTTCATATTAACAATTATTATGTAATTTAGTACAATGATTTGATTCAAAATATGGACTAAAAATTTTACTGAGTCGGATTCGAACCCCCGACTTCCAGGATATAGAATCCCGGTCGCTTTTCCAATTGGGCTATCGTGCTCTATATATTAAAACTACCGAATCTCTTTATAATAACTACTAAAACATTCAAATGATACAAGAGCTTTATGAACAGATTCAGAGAATTTTGTACTATTATAAATCTTGCAATTTCTTTCAGAATCAAATTACCCTGTATACAGGGTGACTGGTGAATTACTATCGATACTTGAGGACGTGATATTTGACGATCATATGGAACACTTGGAACACTTGGAACGTGTCAACACTTTATTTATTTATACGGAAATTTGGTCAAAAATTAAGTACCTATTTTTTTTACATAATTCGAATGAGAATCATGTACCGAGTATTCTCCTTAAATATTGATAGTAATTCACCAGTCACCCTGTATATACCACCATCGGGAATCGAACCCGTGTTATTGAACATTTAAGTCCTACCTCGTAATTCACTTACACAAATCTCCTTGCATCGCTCGATTCTTTACCATATGTAAACCTAGTTTTAGCTCCCCAACCTCTCGTAATACACTTAGACAAATCTCCTAGCATTCCTTGATTGTTTAAACCTAGTTTTAGCTCCTGTATCCGTCTATACTCACCTATTACCACGAGGTCTATATCACTGGTAGGCAGATAGAGGCCTGTTCTGAAGCTCCCGAACACTTCAACTCGAGCTTGCGGCCACAAGGACAGTATGGCGCTCCTGATACGAGTCACGACAGTTGTTCTGACGAGGTGTTCAGTTTCAGATGGAGACATGTACATGTAGAAATGCTCGATCTCCTCGTGCAGACTGGATGGAGGAAATTATTGAGATTATTAGTATTTAATTGTAGTGATGATGGAGAGGGTATGCAGTATTGTTTTTAATGGGACATGAATGTGCTTATATGTATACATATGTGTGTAGCTGTAGTGAAATTTTCATCTAATATTATACTACAAATAGTTGTTACTGAATATTTCATTAGAATAAGAAGAATAAATAAGTTATGTGATACAAGTCTCAAAACCTCAAAGTCACTTACATAATATATTATATACAAATAAAATTATATACATTTATATTAATTGTAAAGAATTTGTCTCGTATGAACCAGCGTAGGCGTTTATTGTCAAAGAAAATACACAATTTAAGAAAATCTGTTTTACTTAGTGAACTTATATGGAGATGAGTCGACTTTACGTTTGGCGAAGTTAGCTTTAATTACCGACTACAAAATAAAAGTATTCTCAGTTTAACAGTGTGTATGTTTGTTCACTTATAGCTTCTAAACTTATGCATTCAGTGTTTGCAATAATAACGTCAAATGAATATAATACAGGAAATAAAAAATGTCTCAAGTAACTGCGTATACGGTTAAAAATCTTAACAGATCTCGATAAATCTTTAAAGATTTCAATTGGGTTTTTGAAAAAAAAAAAAGTATTGATTTTTTTTATGTATTTTAAAACTTTATTATTAATTATATTGGATTTTTAATGCAAAAAACTTGAAATATATTTTTTAAATTAATTATAAACAATTAAAAATTGATAAAATTCAAAAATATATCACGTGACTGTAAACGCGCCATGATTGGTCAGCATACTTGTGACGTCATAATGTTAAAGCAATTTCATAATAGTACAGTGTTTATGGCTATTATCTTTAACTTGATAAAAATATCTCAAATTTATTAGTGAAAAACGATTTGAAAAGTTTATTTCGACTATGTGTGATAAAGGATTTATAAAAGCAAAATCGGATAATATTCCTGATGTTAATATATTTTTATGATAACTAATTTTTTAAAAAGTGCGGTTTAATTTTGCTGAAGTTCGAGGTGCTAAGACATCAAGGTAAGTCTGTCAAAAAATACTATTCTAAATGAAAATTAGTATTTATTCTCTATTAAATATAATTAATAATTATTTCATTAAATCATTATTAATAAAATGTTATTATAACATTATAAAAAAAACCAAAATAACATATATGTACTTTAAAAATTTAAATGTAGTCTGATACAGAACCTAGAATGTTATAAAATTATGAAAATATCTATTAATTGAAGTCCAATTATTAGACAAACATATATATAGATTTACTATTTAATCGCTTTGAATTATCAATTAAAATTTTTTAATGCTACGATTCTAAAGGTTATGATTTGGAGCCCAGGTAAAAAAATTAATTATTGAACTATACTTATTCGATTTATACACTTAGATAAATAATAATTAATAACAATACTATTATGAAAACTTACAACGAAATGATCTTCACAACAAAAAAAAAAATGATTTTGTTTTTGAATAATCTCGATGCACTGCTTGAAACCATTTCTTTCGACGTTTTTCGTCTTGTGGAACATTTAAAAACATTTTTTCAGGAGTTGTTTTTGTAGTCTTTGTACATAATGGTACAAAACTTTTGATTATTTAACAATGCCAACAGAATTTACTAGATAAAAACTCAAAACACTGTACTAATTATTATATCTCTGTATGCTACAATGAGCAAAAACTAACATTGTGACGTCACACGCGCTCGGGTTTATTCACGAGCTGTCGGCTTGTCTTCGGTACTGAATTTAAAATTTAATTTTTATTTTGAAATAACTTTTTAAATATTGCAAAAAAAAATAAAATAAAAATAGTTTTGTTATTAAACTTATATATGATCTTTCCATTTATCACAAAAAAAAAATAATTCAAAAACCCAATTCAAATGCTATCTTTAATAATAATAATAATTCTATAGCCAGAAATCGGTAATTTTTATGATAAGAAAAATTCAAAGAATAGTATACAATGTACGGACATCTACTGTGTATACATAAATATATAATCTAAATTCGCGATTCTCGTCCGGTCATTGACCTCAGACTGTTGCTCCAATTTGTTACTTAACGCGTTAGACGAAAAAAAATGTCTGAAAGACTAAAAAAATTACTTCTTTGATATTAGCTGAACACATTTAGATAAAATTCTATTAGTTATATTATTACGTCGCTGGAAAAAGGAAAAGTATATAATAGTAATATATGTAGGTTAAAAAAAAAATTATATTTATAAAAGTAAAAGAAAACCTTCAATAATGTACAATATTGAATTAAATAATGCGTATACCAAGAACGAATAATCTTTTTATCTGTCCTTTTACCACAAGTTCGCATCTTGAAAATAAATACGAAATTATAAAAGTATTTATTTCATAAAACTTGAAATTGATAGTATCAACTCGGTATAATGAAAAATAAACGAAAAACGTAAAGTATTTCGACGAGACAGACTTGTGGTAATACACGAACATGGTAAAATACAAATAACTTTAGTTCGTGATAAATCGATGTTAAGTTTCTATCTAACTAAATCACTTCCATATAATATAATTATTAATAATATCGTAATAAAATCTCCGGTCCCTTCCTGTTCGCGGCTGGCTGGGCTGCCAGAGCGCTAGACGGACCGACCTTGACCTTAATGTACGAACCAGTACTCAATACAACGTGCAACAGACTTACTGGCTCGAATTCACTATAGACGCTATTTAAGCTATATAACATGTTACGACTTGAGATATAAAAAAAATGCTTCAATGTAATGCTTCATTCGAAATTCGAATTACTTTTGATGCTGTTTATTCGAATTTCGAATCACTTTTGATATTATTTATTAACAATTCGAATCACTTTTTATTCTATCAATTCGAAATTCGAACTACTTTTGATTCTGTTTTAAATTTGAAATTCGATTCCTTTTGGATTCTGTCTATTCAAAATTCGAAATTCGAATCACTTTTGATTCTGTTTATTCAAAATTCGACTCCTTTTTGATTCTGTCTATTCGAAATTCGAATAACAGAATCAAAAATTATTGTTAGACAAATTTATGTGCTAAAACAGTTCTATATACAGATTATTTTATGTACATACATACATATGTATTTTCATTCAAATCTCATATTGCTTTATATTCTCATATACGTAATTATAGACACAGGAGACAAATAATTTGATATATCGAAAATTTTCTTACTTTTACGAGTTTTTTATTGTATACAGGGTGACTGGTGAATTACTATCGATACTTGAGGACGTGATATTTGACGATCATATATGACAAAATAAAAATTAATATAACATAAATATTAATAAACTTCTAAGTTAACCAAAAGTTATGTAATTAATTACGCATCATGTGAACACCCTACAGATTAGGTATACACACACACGCACACATACGCTTGCGGCGGCGTGGTGTTGTATCAGCACGCCGCCGCACGCGTCCACACTTGGAACACTTGGAACGTGTCCACACTTTATTTATTTATACGGAAATTTGGTAAAAAATTAAGTACCTATTTTTTTTACATAATTTGAATGAGAATCATGTACCGAGTATTCTCCTTAAATATTGATAGTAATTCACCAGTCACCCTGTATATATAATTTACGACATTTTAGAGTCCAATTAACGTAACCTTTATTGGAATGCTGAGGGCGGTCGACCTCAGCAACGTACCTTTCACTCAGGCTGGTATTCAGATAGGATTTATTACTTAAGAAAGTTGTTATGTCGAAAAATGTTCACGCATACATTTTTAACCGACTTCAAAATAAAATGATACTAGTTTCCATTATTTATATGTATGTTTGTTTGTTCTTACATATTAGTTATACTTGCTCGGTATTTTTTAATATGATGTCGAGTAATGTACGATTACTTTATTATATTAAGTTCTGTCACTCAGTCTTGCTGCTAACACAATACATATATTACGAATTTTGATATATTTTTATTGTATTGTAGAAAATACAATGAAATTTTTTTCATTACATTGGTTGTGCGTAAATTATATTATGATACGTATGTAGCGTTAAAAATCTCTCAAAAAAAGTTTAAACAACTGATACATAATTACGTTGACGTCACTTAATTTTTTTTATACAACAATCTAATATACCAATTTGAAATAAAATATTTTTTATATGAATTTGTAAGTTATTTTTTGTGGATAACAAGTTAAATTTCTTTATTAAATACATTATTATATGCATATTTCTAGTACATAGTAAAAATCGAAAGAATTTATCCTTATACCTTAAATAACGTGTTATTTTTATTTATACTTAATATTTTTAAGATAAATAAATAAATGTTAGTCAATAATTGATAATTAGGAGAACCAAGCAGGGCAAGAAAATAGAATAATCCTTATATATAATAATTTTCAAATCTTCTATATATATAAAAATGGATTGCTGTTCCTTAGTCTCGCTAAAACTCGAGAACGGCTGAACCGATTTGGCTAATTTTAGTCTTGAAACACTCCTGAAAGTCCAAGAAAGGTTTAAAAGAAGAGAAAAATTGGAATAATTACCGTGAAATTCCTAAAAACAGCCCTTTTCTATTTCCCATACAAACGTTTTTTTGACATTAGATTTGACAACTAACTAATATGTCAATCATTCTATTTGATTGAAACAGGAAAAACCTGATTATTTATGGCCTCTAAGACAGAATAGAGTTCGCCTGGTCAGCTATACCTACATATATGTATTACTCTTGACCGAACTAACGCGGACGAAGTCGCGGGCAAAAACTAGTATTAAATGAAATATTTAAAATCTTGTAAGTTGCAAGCGTATCTTCGCTGCTAGCGGCCTAAATACTAACACGACTATTTTTACTGTCGCCGTTTAGCTAATGGCCGTTTTGTATCTTCCGTACGTACAATAAAAATCTGTTTACATTAATCAGAAATAGAGTTTTAACATTGTAGCAATCTGGTGATACGTGGAACAAACGGACAGACATTCCAGAATAGAGGTAAATAGGTAAGGTTAATTTTGACTTATATTTCCACCTAGATCTTATACCACCCAATAAAATAATAGTTATATAGATAATTTCTCAAGTAAATAAATGAAAATTTGCATAGAAAATACGAAAAATTAAATCAGGATTCGAACCTGCGATCTCCGGAATATCTTTACCCAATTGTATTGACAACTAAGCCATCGTGTACACGATAGTACATAGAAACAAATAATAAAAACATATAAAGTTTTTATATAACATCTGATAATACTTCTAATCAATTGACACAACGATGACGTCACGCGACATATGGTGACACAATTACAAGCAGCTATGACACATTTGTGTCAAGATTAATGTTACACATACATGAATATATCCCTACTAATATTATAAATGCTAAAGTAACTCTGTCTGTCTGTTACGCTTTCACGCCTAAACCATGGAACTGATTTTAATGAAATTTGGTACAGACAGAGTTGACCTTGAGAAAGAACATAGGATAGTTTTTATCCTAGACTTTTGAAAGGTTCTCTTGGAAACGCGACATAACCGAACTCTACGCGGGCGAAGCTGCGTGCGGAAAGCTAGTAAAATATAAATTCATGAAACCTCTGTCCTGTTCAAAGCTCTGTGACGCCTAATAACCCATGTAGTATTATGAATAGCCATAATCACTCGATTGATGATTTCCTTATCATGAACGAACTATTTCATACATATGTAGAATAATTTGTATTGGAGTGGAAACTTTTTATCATATTCTAGTGTGAATTGTTATCTTGAAAAAAACCTAAAATCATTACGAGCGATTAATATGAGAAATGGAAATATATACAGTGTGTTCAAATAATTGCAATAAGAAAATATTTATCTAATGTGTTACGCGCTTAAAATATGTTAAGTTTTTTTCGTTAAATATTATGTATTCTTGTGTCTAGCCAGGGTCTGCCTTACATGTTCTGAATAGTTTTTTTTGGCTAGTTGTTTTTTCGACCAGCCGCCTGCCTGACATCAACCCTTTTTGAGAATGCATTAATACAGTGCTGTCTAAATACTCTTAGAAAGTACATATGACTCGGAAAAATCACATTGGTACTTGCCAGAATCTAACCCGCGAACTCATGCATGAGAGGCGGGCCTTTAACCACTAGGCCACCGCTGACTTAATTATGTATTATTGTGTTTACCTTAATTACGTAAAATTTTTTCACTACCCAGTTTACGAATAAAGACAAATATAGATGAAAATCTTAATAAAATCTTGTGTTTGACAAATTAAATGTATCGATATAAGAACATTCCACGTGATAGTTTTGCTTTCTTTTACTTTTATGTCGTTATACGAGGACTTTCACTGGACCGGATATTGCGTAACTAGCGCGGTAGGGGGCACTGACTCCAAGGTCGGAAACCACGTTTACAAATACTTGATAGGGACTAAAATATTATAAAATTATTAAGAGTTTAATTCAAAAGAATCTGATAATATATATTTAAATACTTCATACATATGTGAGATTCATTAAAGTTATATAATTTGTATGAAATATATTTTATATAATAGAATTCTATTGTATATGATTCATTGTTCATAAAGTGACTGTTTGTTAAAAAAATAATAGGAAACATATGAAAACTTTGTGCTAAAAGTTCAATATAAATTTGTAAAAGCATTTCAAATACCTTTCAAGGTCCCATTTAAATATAAACCAGTTTAGAAGTTAAACCCTTAACTGACACATACATACATACATGAGACACTGTCACAAAAAATATTAATTGTATTGCACTAAATGTAATGGGAAAAATTTTATAAGAATAATTGTAGTTCAAATAAAATTACACAAAAACACTAGTAATGGAAAATGGAAAAACATAAAATTAATGACTATACACATATATATAACTAGCTTTTGACGCGGCTTCGTCCGCGTGGAATGGTTACTTCCGATAGATTTTTGGTTCTTCCCAGATACATAGTTCCCGTTCTTGCGGGGTTTTCGGAATAGTCGAGTTCCCGTAGAATTTTCAGGATGAAACCTATGTTTTTTTTTATTAATATGAAGTACTCTTAACCAACAACATATTTATTTGTTTATATGAATAAAGATTAATATTATTATTTTGATACAACTTAAACAAATTATTTCGACAAAATTAGGTACCATAAAAACGGTTTTTGTGAGTTAATCTTAAAAGATAGACATATACTGTCGCGGACTGTTTTTTAGATCATTAAAAGAGCTATTATTCATTGATACATATTTTTTGTGCATCTTGAACCGTTTTCACGGCGCACGCAACGGAAGGCTTCAAAGATGAAATAATTTCTCCCGTTTCTTACACATTTACCACTATATCTTTGCTCCTACTTGTCGTAGTGTGATGTTATATAGTCTACAGCCTTCCTCGATAACTGGACTATCCAACACAAAAAGAATTATTCAATTCGAACCAGTAGTTTCGGAGATTAGCGCTTTCAAACAAACAAACAAACAAACTCTTCAGCTTTATAATATTAGTATAGATACTAATTCTATTTCTATGAATACATTAATTATGAGAATGAGTTGCTTCAACTTGCGACACCATTTTGTTCAATCAAAAAGCTTCCTCGGATTCTTAATTGACTTAGGTCATGTACACATGAGACAATAGTCAAGTTTAGGGAAATCATCTTAATAAATATATATTATATATACAATACTTAAAGAAAATTTTGTAGAGATGATTTTTAATTATTCATAAACAGTGAAATAAAAGAAATGTATACAAAATGTAATAAGAATTTTTGTTCATATGATTATTACAAATATGTTAATGAATACCGACTCGGAAAAAAGGAGTGTTATTCGTTTTGCATGTACGCAGTATGTAAAATAGACCAATTCCGAAGTGGACTTTTCATTGAGAGCCAGTTTCCTCGCAGTGATTCTTAGCTATGTTCAGTTAATATTAGTCCAGATGTGTAGACTATCAGCTCTTTAAAAATGATGTACAGCATTTTTGACTTATGATAACTCGATTAAGTGCCGTACACTTTCCAGAATTATAGTTTAACTACATTTTACATATACCATTTATATATATATATATAAAATTAAGTTATCTTCTTGAATATTTCATTTATTACATGTATATACTGAATACCATGACTATTATTTTCAGAATTTTCATATAGGTATTATAACATTTTTGAAATACTAATTAGCAAGTCATATAATGAATTATGATAATTTCACTTATAAATGAATGATTTAAGTACATTCATACTTATTATCATTTCAATGCTTATCATTTGCTATATTTACATGTGAATTTTTTCCAATTCTGTTTCTTGATAAATGTTTCAGGGATTGAAAAATTAATATGTCCTACACATATATATTTGTCTTAATAACCTAATATAATATGAAAATCAAGAGTTTAATAAAAATATATATAGAATTTGTACCTTAAACTTTAGCAAACTAAAAAACCTTTTAAATCCAATATATAATCTTAGTAGATTACAAAAATTATATCTGGATGCCAACCGTGTAATTATATTATGTTATCAATATTATAATACATTATTTGAGATATATACTTTATTTATATATTGTATTTAAATTAGACTATAAATATAAAAAATATAGTAATAACATAGAATTATTATTGTAAAAACAGTTGCCATATTAATATAATATTTTAACATATATATAAATTATCCAATAATTATGACATATCAGACAGTATTAATCAAATTGGAACACAAGTAGCATAATATTATAACTATTTAAATCAGAGCTAAGATTCTAATTAATATTTCAGGTCATCAAAAAATTATAACCTAAATGAGTTAGTTTCATACATCCATTTAATAAAAAGCACTGCGAAATTTCTATTATAAATCAATTGCAAAATGATTTAAAACAAAGTTCGAGTTATTTTGTTAGTTACAATTAGAATTTTCACGAATGCATAACGAAACTAAATGCGTAATAATGTAATCGTTTGACAGTCAAAAATCGAAAACAGGAATTAAGCAGGAATGGTGATATTGATAAATTATTATTATCGAAGATGTAAAATTGACGGTGCCCGCCTTTAAACCTGTAACACCGGGTAAGGCCCGCGCTGTCAACTCCACGAGTATAGCAGGGCCTTACGTTCACATCTAATCAGTTTTAACACATTGACAGATATATGAAATCAAATATTATACATACCCCAGAACACCAGGCTTGTAATTATAGTTGGGTATCCTCCAAGGACAGCCACCGTATTCACCTATGAGAGCATCGTGATTTTGGTTCAGGTTAAACGTAGAAGCACGATTGTCGTTAACTTTCCTTCGTGTAGGGTTAAAGTAATTATTGTTCCTATTTTCACCGTTCACCTCGTTTAAGGGTATAAAGTCTGGTGTTTTATTCACGTTGGGATTAGCATTTTCTAAGTTTTTGAGGTTCATTTTGTCGGTTTCACTTTGAGTTTCCCAGATACGAAGCCACAAGCGCTTCGCGGGTCCTTCTTGCTCGGGCTGATACCACCCGACGTAGGGATCCATTCAGCCAAAGCAATGATACACTATAAATGATAACACATTTTGTATCATTTCACATTTATAATAACTGTACTGAAAATTAATACAAAACAAAAATAAGTCCACCACATTCGGAACATGGACGACACGCGGATAGTTGACAGTTCTTTTACTAGAGGGAGCCATCTTAGCAAAATATATTCCAGACACATTCTACGTCGTGTTCAGAAGTTACTTTTTGATTATTTTTATATGGGTGGAATAAAATAATATTTAGAACTAAGGTAATATATAGGATATCTATTATATATATAATAATTTTACAACGTAGCACTTTACTTTTTTTATATATTTTTAATAATCTATAATATTCAATTTCAATTATGAAGAGAATTATATAATTTAAACAAATATAAATGAAAATGTTCATAAAAACATAATGTTTCTCAATTTAGCTTTCGCAGTATCGTTTATGTTTTCCTACAAAAGGAAAATAAGTAACTTCTTAATTCCTAAACTAAAATCTAAGTATAATTGTCAACTTTGACTATTACGCGCCGAAACTAAAGTCAAATTTGTAAATTGTAATATGTTCATATTTTGTTGCAATAATGTTTAGTTTTTGTATCTTTAGATGCTTAAATAGAATATATATTAAGTAGAGTGTATGTTTACATCAAAATTATTAAATCCCTGTAGTTTAGTGGTTTCAACGACTATCAAGAATTGTATAAACCTTACCTATTCAATAAGACATGTTAAAAGTGTAAATAGAATTGATAGTTCGCTAAAAGTGTTCACGAATTGCAGAAACATGTCCCAAAAGAGTATTAAATCATTTTTTAAAATAACTCCTAAGAAAACAGAAGGTGTAACCGAAACAGCTAATCAGGAAGTATGTTTAACTAAGTTGCTACATATTTATAAAATATTTCTTAAGTATTAGTTATTATTTTTTTATTTTATAGCAAAATGGGTCACCCTCTAATACAAGTATCAATAGTGAAACCGACAGCACACCAAATGGAACTGCAAAGGTTTGTTTTCATTTATTAATATAAACTGCAAATATTGTGATAAAGTAAATAATTATTTTCATCCGTATAGAGAGGTAAAAGATTGAGATCAAGTAGCAGTGAACATGAATCTGGAGAAGTGAAGAAGATTCCGTCTCCAACTACTTCAGAGAAGGTAAATATTTTATTATACAACTGATTTTAGTTTAAATATTATTTCAATAGACTTAAATTAGATATTGTCTGTAATATTAAGTGTTTGTTAACATAATAGAAAATCATAAATAAAATATTTACAAAATTTCTCCTTGGACCGACCAAAAAGTTTTTAATGGGATTCTTAGCAGATCAGAAAAAAACATAGCTATTTATAGATAACATTTATTTTCCCTTACAAATGTGAATATTATGAATTTGGTTACAAGAATCAGTAAGCATTAATTTGAAAGAATTAATATTGTATGTTTACCGAAGCCATTGGGACAAGCTGGTAATAAATTAATGTGAAAGAGAAATTAATGTAGTTATTGTCTAGCTGCACCCTGCCGTATTACCCGTGAATTTCCGGGACGTAAAGTAGCCTATATGTTATTCCTGGACGTCAGCTTCCTGTACACAAAATTTTATCAAAATGGGTTCAGCCGTTTGAGTGTGAAGAAGAAACAATCATACACACACACTCACAAACTTTCGCAATTATAATATTAGTATGATAATTCATTCATTAAATTTATCTATATTCATAATTTAACAGAGTTTCAATGTTATAAGCCTATTAATGGTAATAAATTCTTATTAATAGCAAAAATTAATTTTAACATTACTGCTTGACTTGACCATATAAATGTGTTTTATATTTAATTTATACTTATGTTAATTACAGAAAAAGAAAGTAAAACGCCAGAGAATTGAGAGTTCCGAGAGTGAAACAGAAAATGCAGTCCAAGAAGAAAAAATTGAAGTGAAAATTGAAAATAACAACCCAGTCAAAACCTATGCATCACCCAAAGCCAAGAAAATGAAGGAAAAGAAAATCGAAAAGAAAATTAAGATAGAAAAGGAAAAGTCGCCAGAAATTAAAGAAGAATCAGAAATGAAAAGTCCATCGCCAGTTAAAAAACAAAAGAAAACAAATGGTATTATGAGTTCATTTGTAAAGATTGAGAAACAGGATACAAAGAAAGAAAAAGAAAATATTACAGATGAAGATAAAAATAATTCTGAAATAGTTAAAGGTGTGTTTTATTACATATTTTTTATATAACAAAAGTTTTCTTTATGTAGTATTCAATAAAACTATATTAAAGTCATGTCTGTATGTCTAAGTTGCAAACTGAATGACAGCAACTAATATAATAAAGTGATATACCTACATACATTACACTTGATATCATATTATTATTTTAACAATACCGAGTGAGCATCCCTACTATAATATTATAAATGCGAAATTAACTCTGTCTGTCTGTCACGTTTTCACGCCTAAACCACTGAACTGATTTTAATGAAATTTGGTACAGACAGAGTTGATCTTGAGAAAGAGCATGGGATAGTTTTTATTCCAGACTTTTGAAAGAATCTCTTGGAAATGCGATATAACTGAAATCCACGCGGGCGAAGCTGCGGGCGGAAAGCTAGTTACTAATATATAACAATTAATTAATAAATTCCTTGGAATTTCTTTGTATTTTAACCTTATTCTCATAATTTAATAGATATATTATGTTAACAATATGGTTATATAATTTTTTGAACTTCTTTTCCACAGAAGTTGATTACAACCCTGGTAAATCAAAATACCATCCGATCAAAGATGCTTGCTGGAAGAAGAATCAAGATGTACCATATTTAGCGTTAGCAAAGACTCTAGAAGTAATAGAAGCGACATCTGCTAGACTTAAAATGGTGGAAATATTAAGTAATTACTTCAAATCAGTCATAGCATTGACTCCAGAGGATCTCCTGCCGAGCATATATCTGTGTTTGAATCAACTAGCGCCCGCATATAAGAGTCTTGAATTAGGTATGTATGTATTTATTCTAAATATCAAATAAATGTTAAAAAAAGATAATTATTGTATATGTAGTCTCTCCAAGTGGAAGTTGGGAAACTTCGTAATGTTGGAATGAGAACAGGAATGGATGGAAATTAATAGTTTCAATAAGAAAAATTATTTACAATTCACAATTGATTCTCCGCATACGTTCGAACGACACAGATTCTCTCTAGCTCTCTTTATCTCGTTTATTTATTACTAGCTTTTGCCGCGACTCCGTCCGCGTGGAATAGTGACTTCCGGCACATTTTTGGTTCTTCCCACATAGTTCCCGTTCTTGCGGGGTTTTCGGAATGGTCGAATTACCGTGGAATTTTCAGGATAAAACCTGTTTTTTTTTAATTCACAATGAAGTACTCTTAACCAACAACATATTTATTTGTTTATTTGAATAAAGATTAATATTATTATGTTGATACAACTTAAACAAATTATTTCGACCAAATTATAATAGGTACCATAATAACGGTTTTTGTGAGTTAATCTTAAAAGATAGGCATATACTATCGCGAACTGTTTTTTAGATCATTAAAAGAGCTATTATTCTTTAATACATATTTTTTGTGTATCTTGAACCGTTTTCACGGCGCACGCAACGGAAGGCTTCAAAGATGAAATAATTTCTCCCGTTTTTTACACATTTACCACTATATCTTTGCTCCTATTGGTCGTAGCGTGATGTTATATAGCCTACAGCCTTCCTCGATAACTGGACTATTCAACACAAAAAGAATTATTCAATTCGAACCAGTAGTTTCGGAGATTAGCGCTTTCAAACAAACAAACTAACTCTTCAGCTTTATAATATTAGTATAGATACAATTATCCTTTTTTATATATAAAAGCAAGTTGCATTAAGTAGTTACACTATTTATCACTCAAGAACGGCTTTACGGGTTTGGCTGAAAATTGATGGAGAGATAGCCTAGAACAAAGAAAAGGACAAAGGATACTTTTCATCCGATTGAAAGAGCAAAAAATAAACTTAATCAAATCCAAAATCTTCTTATCCAGTGTCTTTAATAAGAAATAGAGTTCACCCGGGCAGCTATACAATTCTAATTCTGTAACTAGCGCATACGAAGTCGCGTACAGTAACTAGTGTTAATATAAAATACATATAATGTAATTGCAGGTATAGCAGAGACATATCTAATGAAGGCTGTGGGTCAGTGTACTGGACGGACCCTCGCGCAGATGAAGGCAGCGGCTCAGAAATGTGGGGACCTGGGACTGGTGGGTAGAGGAACTATAAAAAGAGGATATTTGTTAAATAATGTTTTGAATATACTTCAAAAACTGAATTTATTTGGTTGTTCATCGTAAATGTTATTTAACAGAGATTCACTAAGAATTAATATTGTTATCAAAATTAGAAAGTCTGTATGCTATATGTAATTGAAATTTAGTGTAAATTTTGATAATTTCTTTATATATTTCACTTAATACTCGCCTTAATAATAATAATCGGTTCACGATGTATGTGAGAATATAACTCGGTGTGCAATACACTACATAAAAACAGTCTGCATTGCTTATGTGTCCTATTATGTAATATTTCTTTAATAAATTTTTTTATTATATAATATTAACTTGCCAACAATATACAGGGTGACTGGTGAATTACTATCAATATTTAAGGAGAATACTCGGTACATGATTCTCATTCGAATTATGTTAAAAAAATAGGCACTTAATTTTTGACAAAATTTCCGTATAAATAAATAAAGTGTTGACACGTTCCAAGTGTTCCAAGTGTGGACGCGTGCGGCGGCGTGCTGATACAACACCACGCCGCGCGAACGTATGTGTGAGTGTGTGTGTATACCTAATCTGTAGGGTGGTTACACGATGCGTAATTAATTACATAAGTTTTGGTTAACTTGACTTAGAAGTTTATTAATATTTATGTTATATTAATTTTTATTTTGTCATATATGATCGTCAAATATCACGTCCTCAAGTATCGATAGTAATTCACCAGTCACCCTGTATATAAACTAATTCAAGTTGATCTGTACTTATTTTTTCATGCGGTTCTTAATTGGATATTTTTAAAGTAGTGATTATTATGGTTATTAGGACTATGGTTACTAAAATTCGTCAGTTACAACTCTTCATATCAAATTTTTCAGGATATATCGAAAATTCGTAATAAATTCCCACTTTTCATCATTCCATATATCTATTCCAGGTAGCAGAGCAGGCTCGCGCTACTCAGAGGACGATGTTCGCGCCCCCGCCTCTCACTGTGAAGAAAGTCATCACGGCGCTTAGAGATGTGGCCGCTATGACGGGTAGTGTATAATACTGTGATAAAATTCATATAGATAATATAAATATCACATTTAATCTATAATCTCTGGAAAATCTAAGAAGTTGTTCTGGAAATTGCAGGTTTAAATCCTGCTAAGGTCAATGACCCTTTTTGTGTTCTTAATTTTGTATATGGAACCACTTATGAAACCACTTGAAAGTTTTCACTAGATAAGGATTTAAAATAGAATAACCTCCACTAAAGATTAAAATTCTTATTCATGATTTTTAACGTACACTGTGGATTATTAGTAAGGAATTATAAATTTTGTGTGGTAGGTAAGATTGACTTAGTGTGGCAGAATGGTGTTATGCAATACATATTCAAGTCCAACTGAATATATTTATAATTTTCGAGTGAATTGTGTCTATAATTTATTTATATATATAATTTAATTTGCAGGCCAGGCATCCGTCAACAAGAAAATTGGGAAAATTCAATCGCTTTATGTGGCATGCAGACATTCAGAGGCCAGATATTTGATCAGGTAAAGAAGGGTTATACTAACTATGTAGTTACATTATAGATAGAAAAATTCATTTTCATGTATAAATGTCTTTTGTCCATTTACGCCAAGTCAATGTTCTAAGAGAATTTTTTATTCACAATATTTCATATGATAAAAGCTAAATTATTTGATTAAAAGTAGTAATCGAAGTCGCGAGCAATGGCTAATTATATCATAACATGCCATATTTTTATATATATAAAATAAGATTGTATTAATTACACTATTTATAACTCAAGAACGGCTGTAAGGATATGAAACTGAAAATTGGTGGAGAGATAGCTTAGAACCAGGGGACGGACATAGAATATTTTAGACTGTTCGATCGAAACAAAAAATAAAGGCTTAATAAACTACAAAATCTGTTTATTTATGGCCGCTAGGGCGGATTAGATATATATATATCACTTATTAAATTAACGTGTACAAAGTCGCGGGCAAAAAGTAGTATTTGTATAATTTTAATAATGATCAACCAACCAAATCAATAAAGAAAATAAATTATCCAAATTGTATCATATAATACTAACTTTCCGCCCGCAGCTTCGTCCGCGTGGAGTTAGTTTATATCGCGTTTCCAAGAGAACCTTTCAAAAGTCTGGGATAAAAACTATCCTATGTTCTTTCCCAAGGTCAACTCTACCTCTGTACCAAATTTCATTAAAATCAGTTCAGTGGTTTAAACGTGAAAGCGTGACAGACGGACAGACAGAGTTACTTTCGCATTTATAATATTAGTAGGGATGTTCTATATTTCGTATGTGATGTAAGGTCTCTTGAGGGTAAGCTGCGCGTGGGTCTGGCGGAACAGTCCTTACTGCAGGCGCTGGCTCAAGCTATGGCTGAAGAAGACTCCAAGGTACACTCATAATACTTATTCAACATATTATACCATAATTACTCCACTTAACATACATACTTAGCCTCCCAATTATTTTTATTTTAAGGAATATAGTAATGGTGGATAATGCTTGATAGATATCCAAGCTGATCGTGTAGTCCACTTTTCTTAAATGGTAGTTCACTGTATAAGTAAAAGTATTTTCATTTATAGTTCGAAGACATCCCAATTATATACAAAAACCTAGGCAAATTATTCTAAATCTTTAATATGTCCACAAAGAGAGAGAAATTATAATAAACATAGATTACTTTCTTATATACAACTGGATTACCCGGCGAACTTCGTATCGCCCTATAATCAAGAAAAAAAATAGCCTCAGAAACAAGTGGTGGTTATGCTATTATTAAAAAGTCGCTCATACATGACGTTTGTATTGTTACATAGCGCCATCTATGGAATACTTAACTCAGTCAACAGATAATTGTAATAATGACAAATAATTTTCAATAAAATAATATTGTGACTATAAATAGAGAGGTAAGCTATCCCATCTTTTAAGTTGGATCAAAATTCACCCAGAATGCAAATCAAATTTAAAATCGGTTTAGCAGTTTAGGAGTCCATCGCGGACAAACACGTGACTCGAAATTTTTATATATATAAAGATAATATTTCCAGAGCCTCATAGATGAATACGCTCTCATCATCAAGACGACGTACTGTGAGTGTCCCAACTATGACCTGCTGGTTCCAGTACTGCTGCAGCACGGCGTGAGGTCTCTGCCGGAACACTGCCGCCTCACTCCGGGTCTGCCGCTCAAACCTATGCTGGCTCACCCTACTAAAGGGGTACATGAGGTCTTCAACAGGTGAATTATATTTAAATATAGTCCCGCCTCATGCACGAGGACGCGAGTTCGATCCTGGCAAGTACCAATGTGATTTTACCGACTCGTATGCACTTTCAAGAGTATTTAGACATTAATAATAGACAATGAAGGAAAACATAGTGAGGAAAGCTGGACTTATAGTTTCAAATTGTAAGTTTGAAATCACCAACCCGTCTTGAGCAAGCGTGGTGATTAATGCTCAAACCTTCTCCATGTGTGAAGAGGCCTTCGCTCAGCAGTGGGCTCTGATAGGATGATGATGATGACATTACAGTAGCTTCAACAACTAAGCCTTTAAACCCTGACTCGATTTGGAGAATAGAGAAATTGCATGTTTTGTGATTATATATGTTTTTTCAAAACTTTAATCAAAATTATTAACCGAGTTTCAGTAAAAAGCAACAGAAAAAAAGAAAATTTTTTTGTTAATCAAAAATTATTCCTTGTAAATATATTTTCAAACGTAAGTAATATCATTATATCGTTTAGTGACGCCATCACACGGGGAGACGTTAAAACTCTTGTTCATATTGTCAAATGTCAACAGAAAAAAGTGAATAGTAATTAATGTGACAGGTTATGAGACATTTAGATCTAAACATAAGAAATCAATATGTAAAGCGCCATTCTGATTGGCTCTCAGCCTCAACGGATATAATGACGTTTTTATTGTACCTCAATTTATTTATTTTTTATAATTTATTTAAGAAAAAATATTAATCTAAAAAAAATTCATCAACATGTTACAAATTAAATATTCTTTTGTAAACACATAAATTTTTCTCGATATAAAATTTATGCAACTTCTCTATTGTGTAACATATATTTAAATGAGACTAATATTCTCCGGATATACTACGCGACTTTATTTTTGTAAAAAACTATATACTCCCGACGTTTCAGTTACTTTTCAGCCACCGTGATCACGGGCAGACGGGACATCTCAATATGAAGCTTTTTACAAAAATAAAGTGGAATAGTATAATCCAACAAATATGTTTTATTCAAATGAATAAAACTCCCGAAAATCTTAGATCATTCTTCTTCTACCTGGTAATTTTCCATCAATAACCAGGGTCTGCCTTACATGGTGTGAATAGTTTTGGCTAATTGTTTTTACGACCAGCCGCCTGCCTGACATCAACCCTCTTTGGGAATGCATTAATCAGTGATGTCTAAATACTCTTAGAAAGTACATAATATGTCTCGGAAAAATCACATTGGTACTTGCCAGGATCGAACCTGCGCCCTCATACATGAGAGGCGGGCCTTTTAATCACTAGGCCAACACTGGCTTAGATCATTATGTATACCATATATTTAACAGTCATATAGATAGTTATAATATTATTTTCTCCCAGGTTCGACGGTTCAGTGTTCACATGTGAATATAAGTACGACGGTGAGCGCGCTCAGATACACGTGCCGGGAGATGAGAGGCCGGACCTGGAGCGAGCAGCTGTGTACAGCAGGAACCAGGAGGATAACACTACGTGAGTATATACAGGGTGTAGATATGAGTAGTTATATGAAACAGATATATAATTTCATCAATATTGATTATTTATAGTGAGAGTAATAAATGAATGTAGGTTGCATATGTTATTTTCGTTGCATATTTTTATTCTTTGCTACTGCATCATTGATACTAACTTATTTAAAATATATGTATGTATCATGTATGTTATCAAATACTTAGTGTTTTATACAAATATTTATTGTAACATGTTTAATTCATGTGTACTCTAATTTTTATAACACCTCACCTTCTACATACTATACAACAAATTCGATATCCAGATGCCTTTTTAAGTATCAAAATTTAATTAAATTAGATTATACAGGGTGACTGGTGAATTACTATCAATATTTAAGGAGAATACTCGGTACATGATTCTCATTCGAATTATGTAAAAAAAATAGGCACTTAATTTTTGATAAAATTTCCGTATAAATAAATAAAGTGTTGACACGTTCCAAGCGTTCCAAGTGTGGACGCGTGCGGCGGCGTGCTTATACAACACTACGCCGCCACACGCGTATCTGTGTGTGAGTGTATACCTAATCTGTAGGGTGTGCACACGATGCGTAATTAATTACATAACTTTTGGTTAACTTTACTTAGAAGTTTATTAATATTTATGTTATATTAATTTTTATTTTGTCTTATATGATCGTCAAAAATCACGTCCTCAAATATCGATAGTAATTCACCAGTCACCCTGTATAATACATAACTAAAATCAATTCAACAAATAAATATAATGAACATTTCCAGTAAGTACCCGGACATCATCAAACGTCTCCCTTCCCTGATGAAGGAAACAGTGAGGAGCTGTGTGCTGGACTGTGAGGCGGTCGCTTATGACACTAGCACCAAGCAGATATTACCATTCCAGGTTATATATATACAAAAAAATATATTTGTATGTCTGTATGTTCTCGATAATCTCAGAAACAGTGTACATAATTACATGTCTCTTACATACTTAGTATTAAACTAATGACTTCACTTTTGTGGAAAAAGAACCGTTCGCGTTCTCATTTATCTGTTATTTTGTAATGAATTAAATACTAGCATAGTTATGTAAAGAATTTTATTGATAGCTTATTATAATAACTAATAATAAAAACAATGAAATTCGTAAATGCCTCTGCTATATTAATATAATATGTAATGTTTTAATAGCTGTATATGTATATACTTTAAATTGATAATTTCCAGCTAAAACATAATTAGGAATTAGGATTCTTTTTATATTGACTGGCTTTTGTTTAAAATTAAAGCGGATTTTTATTAAGACTTTTGATTCTAAAAAATACAATATTTCTTTCAAATATTAAAATTAATAATATCTAATATTGAACTCTATTTAAAGTATCAGATTTGATTACATTTATGATAATTCAACTGATTAACCAATATTCTGCAAAAAATACAAAAAAAAGTTAAATATGAAGACTTAATCTTTATGTAATTATCATATTATTATAAGCATGTTGTTTTCTAAGGAAGTATAATATTATTTTATAATTTAAATTAATTTGAGCTGGAAATGATTTCCAGGTGTTATCGACTCGCAAACGTAAAGACGCTACCGAGGAGCAGATCAAGGTGCAGGTGTGTGTGTTTGTGTTTGACCTGCTGTATCTGAACGGACGGGCGCTGGTGAGGGAAGACTTGGAGATTAGGAGGGAATTGTTGAGGGAGAACTTCAATGAGGTCGAAGGTATACACTGAGAAAATAACTAGTATCACATTTGAATATCATCATGTCATCAAATGCTTTATAGAATGGTATATTTCAACTGCAGAAGGGGGGAGTTAAGACGATCTCTGTAGGCCTTGCAATAACTCATTGTATAGGTAAAGGGTGTTTTTTTTTAGAGATATACAACTTTAAGTTGCCAATACTTTTTTAACTGGCAGTTATTTTGATAGCTGTCCAGTGATTTGTGTTTAATTTGGTTTGGCAATTCATCATGAATAGACTAACACCTGAACAACGCCTCCAAATTGTGCAAATTTATTTTGAAAGTCATGGCTCTGTTCGAAAAACGTATCGCGCACTACGTCCATTTTACGGTACACATAATCGTCCATCAACACAATTAATTCGATTAACAATGGAACGTTTTCGCACTACATTTACTCTAAATGATAATACGCATCCACAGAGATGTCGTACAGTGCGTACAGAAGATAAGAATAATTGGTCCGTACTTCTTTAGAAACGATGCTGGCCAGAACGTTACAGTCAATGGTGACCGCTACAGAGCGATGATTAGTGACTATTTCGTTCATCAATTAAACAACCATAATGTTCAGGAGTTCTGGTTTCAACAAGACGGTGCAACATGTCATACAGCTCGTGCCACATTTAATTTTTAAGAGAAACATTTGTTAACCGCATAATTTCACGATTCGGATCCGTAAATTGGTCCCAAAGATCATGCGATTTAATGCCGCTTGATTATTTTCTGTGGGGATATGTAAAGTCGTTAGTCTACGCTGATAAGCCCGAAACCGTTGATCACTCGGAGGATAACATTCGTCGCGTTATTGCCGATATACAGTCACGAATGTTGGAAAGAGTCGTTGAAAATTGGACCTCCAGATTAAACTACGTACGAGCCAGTCGTGGAGGTCATATGCCTGAAATCTTATTTAAATTATAATGACAGGATATTATCTTTCCAAAATATTATATTTCATATCAATAAAAAAAATCATTTTTGTTTTATTTTATTTCAAAGTTGTATACCTGTAGAAAAAACACCCGTTATATATATTATATATTACAGAAACTATCATACAGTACAGCTTAATGTATCGAAGCTTTTGTAGGTGGTAAAGCCTAGCTATAGTCAAGTTACTACAGCTCGAACTGTGCTGAACTGCTGGCTCAACCGGGTATAGTGCGTTTGATTTAAGCTGAGCTTTGCATTTATGTGAGTGCACACGGATAGTGTAGGTGTGATGTCAAATTTTTGAATGTCACGTTCTTTTCTAGTTTTGATCCGGTTTATTCTGCTTTTACTCCGTTCTGCACCTTCCTCACTTCACCTTTTGTACTGGTAGCAAAATCAAATATTGAAAAGTGAAAACACAATGTCAAGTTAAGAAGAATTTGTACATATTTTTCAAAATTTTTATTAATCAATAATTTTTTTCCATAATATTCATAATATTTGAATCTGGCCTTGACATGTTTTGCTTATTTTATTTTTAATCTAGAATAGCTCTAGCACTTACGTTATGAATCTATTTAAAATATAATAAAATTTAATGCAAATTTTTTTTGTCAATTCTACTTTTACTTTAACTCACAAATGCAAAGCTCAGCTTAAGTCTAACGGACTATACTACCCTCTCACAGAAGACCAAATTGAAGCCTGTAATGTCTATATTTCTTCTGATGAGTGAGAGAGACGGTTGCCCTTTCTCTATCATTTCCTTATTCCCAACAATTTCTATTCCTAAAAACTAAATTTGGCAATGCATTTGCAACATATATATTGCGGATGTCTATGGTTAATGGTGATTGCCCATCAAGTAGGCCATCTCTCATTTGCCAGTTTTCACGTAAAAAATATATATTTCCATATTAATCTCAAATATTTTCCAGGTGAATGGCAGTTCGCGGTGAGTCGTGACTGTACGGACGAGGAGGAGGTGGCCCAGTTCCTGCAGGAGTCGGTGAAGGCTTCTTGTGAGGGACTCATGGTGAAGGCGCTGCGGGGAGAAAACGCGAGATACGATATAGCTAGGAGGTCACACAACTGGCTTAAGGTGGGCTATATAAAATAATTTAACATTTATCTTCATGATATAGAATTATTTGAAACTACTTCCACAATATCTGTTTATATATTACTAGTTTTTGTTCGCGAGCTCGTTAGCGTTCATTTGGGCATTAGTAATATATGTATAGCTGATCGGGCGAACTCTAATCCGCTTTTAAGGCAGTAAAAAAGCAGATATTGGAGTTTAATATGTTTTTTTCCATCGATCAGAACTAAATATCCTATGTCCGTCTCGTGATTCTAACCTATCTCTGCATCAATTTTCAACCATATCCCTACAGCCGTTCTTGAGTTATAAATAGAGTAACTAACAAGTCTTTCTTTTGATATATAGATATCTACTGTTACGAAACAACCATCACCTAAAAAGTGTGATACAAGCTAATAAGTGTATAAAGACTCAGATAATATTATAATTATATACATTCCAGTTAAAGAAGGACTATCTAGAGGGCATCGGTGACTCTGTGGACGCGGTAGTGATCGGCGCCTACCACGGGCGAGGCAAGAGGACCGGCGTGTACGGAGGGTTCCTGCTCGCGTGTTACGACCCAACTAACGAACAGTACCAGTCACTGTGTAAGATAGGCACCGGCTTCACTGACGAAGACCTGCGGACGCTCAGCGACACGCTCAAGGAACATGTTATAGACGGACCCAGGAACTATTATATGTGAAGATATATATATTACCTAATAGTCATCTAAACTTGTAACTAGCAAAGATTTGCTAGTATATTCCTAGCTCACATAATTATGACTTGTTCAAAAGTCTATTCTATAGTAGTACTTAGTTTTGTTCAGTTATATTTCGTAAATCAATCTTTGACAAGAATTTAATCAGTTCAAAGGAATGTCTATTCTACAGTAGTACTTATTTTGTTAAATATATTTACTTCTGTTACGTAAACCTATACCAAGAATGTCATCTATACTAAATCAACTGAATCACATACAAATCTTTGTCAGTATATTTCCAAGTACGTCATATCTCCCAAGCCCGTTCTAAGCTACCCATATCTCCAGGTTCGACTCGTCTCACGCCCCTGACGCGTGGTTCTCTCCGTCGTGTGTGTGGGAGGTGAGGTGCGCGGACCTCTCCCTGTCCCCCGCACACCGCGCCGCGCTGGGCCTGGTACATGACAGTAAAGGAATCAGTCTACGGTTCCCGAGGTATGAACTGCTTATTGATAAAAACTACCTCAAAAAGTGTTTGATTAGCCAAATGTTAAAATTGTTGGGTATATTACATATTATAACACTTTAAATAATTTTATTACATAATTGGAGGAAGTAACTATTACATAGAAAAGTTTTTTTTAAATTCCGGTGTTACAAAAAATTTTTTGGTATTGTAACTTATATGGTGAAGTAGCTTCAATGGTCGTTATAGCGTATAATTTTTTTCATTCCCACATCTCAACACTGTAAAAAAGGCTAGCAAAATCAAGTTACTATTAAAATATCTTAAAAGAAAAATTTATTTACAAATAGATATGAAGAGTGTGAATTGTAAGAATTATCTGAGTCGGTCCATACAGACTATGAACTTAAATCCATTTTTTTTATTTACTTAAAACATTGATTTGAATATTTCATTCAACTCATAAAATAAAGAAATACTATAAGATTATGTTCCTTTACAAAGCTAGTTAAAATATTTAGATATAAAAGTCAGGAATATCAAATAATAATATTGTTAGCTTTGAGATGTCTCTATCTTTCTATCATCCTACATATGAAGTAATCCTTATCCCTATCCCGGCAGGTTCATCCGTGTCCGTGACGACAAGTCCGCGGAGCTGGCGACCTCTGCCGAGCAGATAGCGGAGCTGTACCTGAGACAAGACCAGGTCAAGAACACTACCAACAATCAACAGAGAGACGACTTCTACTGAACTACTACTAACTGACTATAACGTCGGTGATAGTGAAAATCCGCTTAACTACCATTGGAAGTATTATCAAAATAGTTTAAGCTTAATGTTTTTCTATATTAATGACTTTTAAGGTATTTTTTTGACAATTATTAATTACTAGCTGCGCCCCGAGGTGTTACCAGCTGATTTCCGGGATGTAAAGTAGCCTATGTGTTATTCCTGGACGTCAGCTTCCTTTATACAAATTTTTATTAAAATCGGTTCAGCCGTTTGAGCGTGAAGAAGTAACAAACATACACACACAAACTTTCGCAATTATAATATTAGTAGAATTTAGTGTTTAATTTAGTACTAATTGTGAAAATACCTTAAAAGTCGTTAATTTAGAAAATATTTCAGCTGAAACTTTCTTCTGATAATCTACTTCCAATATAGATACGTGAAATTATCCAATGGTAGCTACGTGGATTTGCACTATCTCCGATAATATACTAATAAAGTTTCATTATAATCAGACCATCGATTTAAGGAGAGTCGTGTAAATAAAATACAACAGTCAGATTTAATTTTCTTTTATTTTTTATTACATCTTACATTATATTCTTAGGACTATGATAAGGGAAGAAAATTCGTTCGTGAGTCCTCTCCGGTACTGTCACCGCGAGACTAGCTCTGAGCTCTCATACATATGAGATTCCTTTTATATATTTTATATAAAAACCAAAGTTAAATTCAACACAACCATTAATTCATTATCGTGCGTATAATCAAGCCAATGATTTAATTATTCCGGTTACGGAAATCGATTTAAACATTCTCATTATGGCACGAATTATCAATTTGTGTACAGCGACATCTGTTACATAATAACTAAACTAAATAATTGTACTAACTCAACTCACTAAATATAAGTAAAGTGTCTAACAGTAAATACATCACATTCATCAAACTGAGCTTCAATAGTAACTCGATCACAATATAAATATAAAAAATAATCTTAAACAATGACATGTTAACTCTCACACGATCTAAGACTTAAATAAGGTAAAGATTCTTCAACATGAAAGTAATTAAACACCCGTGACGGGAATACGATCAATAAATAAGGGGGAGTAAGGATTTGAGCTAGTGATAGTTTGTGCTGAGAATATGTAGTATAAGAGTAATTAAGATATGTTTGGCACGAGTCAGCGGGAGGGATGCCGGTGGCGCGTCAGACGCCCTCTAGCGGCGGGCGGTCACAGCAGCGCCGCGCGTTCAGGAGCCGGGGCCCGGCGCGGCGCCTCCAGTAGCGACGCCTGCTCCTGTAACCCACAGCGGCCCTACACTCCGCACCCCGCATTCTCCACCCTCATCACCCTCTCAGGGTGACGCTACTACTATCGGTCACTACTCTACTCTAGTCTATGGTCGTATGTATGTTTATTTAATATAAGTCCACTGATTAGGGTCACAGGAAGTCTTCTCTACATGTAGTTACTATGTCTGTGTGTCTGTGTATGTGTCGGTGTGTGTATGTCCGTGTGTGTGTGTGTGTGTCCGTGTGTGTGTGTGTGTGTCTGTGTTTGTGTCAGTGTGTGTGTATGTGTCCGTGTATGTACGTGTGTGTGTCTAATGTCTCAGATCCGGTCTGTGTGTGCGTGCGTCCGTACGTTCCGTCATATCTGCCGTCTGTAACATTACCTCGCTGGGGTTAGTGTCTTGCGGGGCGTACATACTATCATATATCGGATTCGCGAAGTGATTGCCGCCGTTCTGGAAACAAACAGAGGACTACTTAAAATATAACTAAAATATAGAAGATGATTTTAATTTAGCTCTCTTATTATTAAATATAAAATCTTTACAGTGTTTCTTCTATAATTCAGAAAGAGAAAACGTTGATTTCTATTTTAGTAAGGAAACCTAATAGCTCATACGAATATTTTTATTATGAAGTTTAATTAAAACAGTATACATATATCTCTATTCTATATTGACAGTTAGAGCGATAGATATTTGAGTGAGTAGTATGTGAGTACTAACATTCCGTGTGTCTCTCGTGTCCGTGTCGTGGTCGTCATCACCGGCCAGGTACATGGGGTTGCTGATCTCCAGACCCTCGCCCGCACCCTCCGACAGGCGCGCGTGGACGAACGCGCCGCTGAAACAAACAGACATACATATACATACACCAAAGAATATAATATGGTTTGATTGTGTAATTAATGTTACAGTATAATCGATTAGTTTCGCCTTAATGAACAATTTTAATGAAATCCCTACTAATATTATAAATGCGAAAGTAACTCGGTCTGTCTGTTTGTTACGCTTTCACGCCTAAACCACTGAACTGATTTTAATAAAATTTGGTACAGATATAGAGTTGACCTTGAGAAAGAACATAGGATAGTTTTTATCCCAGACTTTTGAAAGGTTCTCTTAGAAACGTGATATAACCGAACTCCACGCGAGCGAAGCTGCGGGCGGGAAGCTAGTATTAAATAAGTATTGTTTTATATGAATATGTTGGTGGGATTTATGTGCAATAATCTACTTATGTATATTAAACTTATGAATGTTGTTTTCGTAGTTCGACGAGTAAGGAAGGACATCGGCTTTCTATTTTATAATTTTTGAAATGTACATTATTATTAGGGCCCGGATAAATATGTATTAAAAAATCTAAAATATGGACAAAAAATCTAAAATATGGAAAAAATATGGAGTATAAAATAAATACTTTCATAATTAAACATTGTTTTACTATAAGAAAAGGGTCACTCGTGACGTACATAGTTAATTTACATTTAGACAACGATGAAAAAATAGCGAAATATTTATTTCTACAAAAACTAACAGTTTTCTTCAACTTCCATTACACTAGCCTTATCAAATTGGTTGCAATACACAATGACGTGCTTCATTAAATTATTATCAAAATGAAAACTGACCATTGGGTTGAAATATAGCCTTATATCTGCTGAATGATTTCTCCACGTCACATGACGTGATGGGTGCATACTTTAAACATGCATAATTCAGTAATTGTGTAAGCCATGTCTACAGCCCTCGAAACTTTTGCACAGAATTTTGTTAATTTTTTTTGCGAATTAATTCCTTTTGTTTTTATCCAAAACATTATTGGCGGAAACGTAAATTTTATGTATTTTTGTGAATATATGGATGATTGTGACATTTTCTTGTGAAATATGGACTTAACTTTGAAAAATGGTAAAATATGGAAAATAAAAGTTCGTTTTTCACAGTCTAAATATGACAATCCATGTAGAAAACACATACTAGACCGAAAATCGCGTAAATTAAAAATAAGTTTTTCGGACGAACTGCGCGCTGTTTAATTATTCTTATATCTACACACACCCGACGTTTCGAATCCTTCGCAGCAAAAACTTACATATCATTTCATAAATAGATTTCATCAATATAATATGTATAAAATATAAATTAATCATTAATACTAACAAAAATATTTATTTAGGAAATGCTGCTTTACTTGATATTTCAAAACATAATGTCTTAAGTATAGACTCTGGTAAATAATTCCAGAGATATTGTAAGAAACAAGAAACGAGTCGATAGACATATAGTTATATGAAGAGGAGTTATGTCGTGAAATATACACAGACATTAAAACCTCCATTTATATACAAGACTACAAGGACTGAATGGACTATAGAGGACAAAATATTCTAAGATGTATCATCAAGTATTGGTAATCGGTTTAATTGACGTTAAATCGAAGATGTGATCGAGTTAGGTTAGTCCAAAAATAAATTAATGCATATTTTGAGAAGAATCTACGGTTTTTCTCTTTTTTTAATACAACATTTTGTGCTTTTTTTATTACGGATAAGCATTACAAAAATCGTTAAAAGGTAATGAAGATCTAAGACTTTCACGAGTATTCATTTAAATGGAACTAATATTTTTGGGATATACTACGCGTGCTTTATTTTTGCAATTCAGTCCTTAAATAAATAAGTGACAAAGTTTTACGAAAATACAGAAACACTTTAACCTCTATCTCCTCTAAATTAAAATAATCTTAGTGACAAGACTTTATGAGTTAAAATTTTCTGTATAAAATGTAAATCAAATCCGGGTACTAGTCGTAGTTAATATCCGCTACTTGTCCGGATCAATACTAGTACCGTATCCGTCAGATAACATCCGGATTAAGGATTTAGAGGTCAGCTCAAGTGTTAGGGGTCTGACAATTTAAATTTCACAGAAATATTACTTTGATATCAAGTAATAAATGAATGTATAAATTCTAAATAACTTAAAATGTTAGTACAAAATTTACCTATTTTAAAATTTATACCAAAAATCTATACTGCAAGTAAGTCGAGTAGTATGTTTACATAATTTATCTTGTTTCGTTGGCTCGTATTGAAGTGTTTGATTTGTATTATATGGTCTGTATGATATACTCACTGTCTCCTGCGGTGCGCTATATATAGTGCGGCCATCAACACAGCTAGTAGGGCAGCCAGTGCTAGTAGCGCTGCGCCCCCGGCCGTGCCCCAGCCCGCGCCCTCCGCCCCTACACCGGTGTCTGAACACTGCACACCCTCGGAACACGCGCAGTATGGAGTACCCGGCTCAGATGGATTGTCTGTTAGATAAAGAGTTTTTTAGGATAATTATAAGCATATTTTTAATTTTTTAAACATATTTATTTATTTAAAAGTAATTATAAATGCAAGTGTACGACGTGGACGTGTATTCAGATAGGACGTAAATATAATAAAATATTCTGATTAAATATAAAGACACATTATTTTGATGGTTTAAAAAGAGATAGAGCATTAGAAATGCACATCATATAAGTATATAACTTTGCTAGACTTATATAATCTGTATGTAATCATTTCACTAACCGGAGGCTTTCCAGACGCAAACAGCTGGAGGGACGCAGGCTCTGGCCACACAGGCGTTGTCGTGACCCACATAGTGTCTACAGCGGGACCCGCCCCAGGCGCCTGCGCATGCGCACGCTCCCCCGCCCACGCCTGACACGCAGCGCCCACCATGGGCGCACGAGCCCGTACATGAGCCCCATTCTAAAATACAAAAGATTACTTTATTACACATACATACATACATATCTATATACATTAAAGAAAGTTGTGTTAGTTACACTATTTATAACTTAAGGCTAGCTGTAGAAATAATGTCGAAAATTGGCGGGAAGATAGCTTAGAACCAGATGACAGACAAGATATTTGATTCTGTTCGAACGAAAAAGAAAAAAAAACTTAATCAATTACAATATTTGGTTATTTATTCCCTCTGGGGAAGAAAGAGTTCGCTCGGTCAGATATAGATATGTTACAAATTTCCAAATTAACTACGAAGTCGCGGACAAAAACTAGTTATATAACACGACAACTTATGTCTTGTAATAAATTAAAATAATCATATAAAATACAGCCCAATAATAGATAGAAATGAATTGTATTCCTTTTATTAAGTATCTTGTTTCGTTCACAGTATTTTAAAGGAAATTTCAAAGTAACATAGGAAATAATGTATTGGATGAGACATCTTAAGAGGGAAAGATGTCGGAAGGTCGTTGAATCTCAATAGGAAGCCTTTGTGTACATTTGAAGCTTTGTGTTCAGGAATATATATACAATCCGAGTGGTACAACGAAGAAGTGATTGTGTACTACAATTTGAATATAAATTTTAATATAAAAACTCTTCTGAAGTAACGGAAATAATAATTTTATGATTATTATTATTGTAAATAAATAACATATGTGAGTAGATAGCCAGGTGTTATAAATAAATAAAAAATAATATACATATATAATTTTATAATGAATTATGTAATGGAAAAAATATTTCTAATTTATACATTTTTATAGAAAAAAATTATTTTACTTTCAATGAGGAAAAGCTTTTACTTTAAAGCAATAAGGAAAAGATTTATATATGTTAATTTTCTCTGTTCTTTTTCTAATATTTTAAGTTATTTATGAATGATCAACAAATCTATAATTAACAAGATCTCATAAAACTTTTTTATAACTTTACTAAAATCTAGGCCAGAGAGCACACGCCTTACTATCAGTACACTGAACACATTAAACGAGGGCGCGGGTTCGATCCTGGCAAGTACCAATGTGATTTTTCCGAGTCAAATGTACTTTCTAAGAGTATTTAGACATCACTGATTAATGCATTCCCAAAGAGGGTTGATGTCAGGCAGGCGGCAGATCGTAAAAACAATTAGCCAAAACTATTCACAACATTTAAGCAGACCCTGGCTAAAACTGGGAAATTGCCAGGTAGAAGAAAAAAAAAACTTATACTTGTAAAATTTTCATACATATACCAAATTAAATATTATCATGTATGAGCAATAATTAAGTATAACTTAAATTGTGTTTAATTTGAAGACGGTAACTGTATATTAAATTAAACTACATATTATCTTACCACAAGTTTATACGACATACTTTATACGGAGATTTAATAATTTACTATTAAAAAAAATTCATAAATTATAATATAAACGCAAAAACCTTAGTAAGTGATAATGCACACTTGAAACTACTCTCCCTCACACTACATTAACAACAGTATCAATGTATTAACAAGTATTTTATATTATACATTTAACTGTCGCTGTTGAGTTAATATTGTACCTTAGGTAAGAAGTTGTAACAAGTGACGTAGCATCGGGTGTTTCCCACGATTCAAACAAGAATATCTTCACATCATTGTTTTATATAAAGAAACTTTAATAAAATTAATGTATAAAAAAGATAAAATTAATGTATTATTAAATAGTATTTAAAATTTTTGTATATATTCTGATATGTATAAGCTTTTTATATTTAATAAGAAAAAAATATTTTAAATATTCATAATACGCTGAAATACTAAGGGAAGACCGCTTTTGAGTTAATTTTTTTGCCAAAAATTGCAAAATGAAACAACTTGTGGTGTAAAATTTAAAGGAATCTCAATTCCTATGTCACAATACATCAAAATGAAATGGTTGAAGTCAGGTATTGTGCGCGCATCACGACAAACTAATGGCTTGTATTAAAATACATTTTAATTTAATATAACTTATTGATTTTTTATAAAATATACAATTTTATAATTATTCTATGCACATACGAAAACTCTATTTCTATTATATTTAAAAAAAAACGCGGTCAAGTCGCGGGTATAAGCTACTTGATATAATATTTATAAGAACATATTAACTTTTAATAGACTAGACTTATGATAAACCAGACTGAATCTAGACTCAGACTAGACCAGACTGAACATAGAAAAAACTTTATTGGGATAGGTCATGATTCTTAAATGACAACCTGTTCTTATATAACATCTAATTTATTATCAAGATATATATAATAACAATAAAATAAATATCAATATTATTTTTATTAAAACATTTATGTAGTATTAATTTATCGAATAGTGTAAAGTTAGTTCTGACTATTTATAACTAGTAATATATTTCAGATTCATTATCGATCGTATAAAAATACGCAAAGCATCCGAATTGCACTTAAACTTGGACAAAATCTGGGGCATGGTGATATAATACTGTGACTTGAGCCTAAAATTTTGAAACTATACCTATATATAAATATATATGTATATATACTTACGTATATCCCTCCTATATCTCATTTCACTTTATATATATTAATTTTCAACACACAAACAATCAAACATTCATAGCGACATTTTTATGTACGGAGTTTTAATAACGGATAGATGACACTGGCATTGGTTATTTTGAGCGGCTTTGGAAACGTCAGCTCGCCACAACAGCGCGAGGACCACTGCAAGCTGGCTGAGCTGAGGATGGGGTGGTGACGTCACAGAGCGGTTGCCATGACGACGGTGACGTGTGACGTCAGAGGAGATCGAGAGACATCGTAATGTGTCAGGTGAAATACATAAATATATCTCTACTAATATTATAAATGCCAAAGTAACTCTGTCTGTTTGTTACGCTTTCACGCCTAAACCATTGAACTAATTTTAATGAAATTTGGTACAGATAGAGAGTTGACCTTGAGAAAGAACATAAGATAGTTTGTATCCCAGACTTTTGAAAGGTTCTCTTGGAAACGCGATATAACCGAACTCCACGCGGGCGAAGCTGCGCGCGGGAAGCTAGTAAGCAATAAAACAAAACCTCTAATTGGAAATCAAAATATTAGAACCAGAAATTCTGACCTCTCATTAAATTAATTCGGAACTGTATATAAATCCGTGAAATAACAATTTCACAGAATAATGTATACACGAAAAATATAAGAAAACAATATTAAGCTGTGTTGTTTAATTTCTTTTTGAGTTCTTATCAATTAATAAATGATTCGAGCGTGTCTGTCTTGATTAATTTGTATTTTTTTAAATATTTAGTTTTTATTTAATTATGTTACTATGCTAAGCTTATATATAACTTTCCTGTACAAAAATATTATATGTATATTATATAAGAAGAATATCGTTTAGTTATATAGGGACTCGATGGTTCAGTGGTTAGAATGATTAGTTTCTAAGTCACAGGTTCAAATACCGTTTTAGTATTTTCTTCTAAATGAATCATATTTTATAAATATAAAAGCTATTATGAAGGAAATATAAAACAATGCACTGCGTCACAATATTACAACGTCGCCGCATTAAAATATAATTGGTTTGTAGTTGTACATTATATATATATATATATATATATATATATATATATATATATATAATATTATGAACTATATGATACCTACGACTTTGCTCGCGTTTTTGAACACAGTGCATATAATATATATACAGCCAAATTAAGTAGTATAGTTTTATAAGTACATTTGTGAATTTTTGTATACATTTAAATGAAATTTATGATACGTCCAGTGTATGATAAATTTCCTTGGACCTCCATTTAGGTGGTATTTTTTTCTATGTACCAAGAAGTGCACGTAAAGTCGCGGATTGACCATAGTTAACATATTCTTGTACAATGAAAAGTTTTTATTATTATATTTTATATTTCTCATGGTACAGGGTCATCCCCGGTCGGCAAAAAAATATCCGCATCTGAATACTTGTTGATATTTGAAGCAGAAGTTATTTTTTAATTATTTTTATACTAGCTTTCCGCCCGCAGCTTCGCTCGCGTAGAGTTCGGTTATATCGCATTTCCAAGAGAACCTTTCAAAAGTCTGAGATAAAAACTATCCTATGTTCTTTCTCAAGGTCAACTCTATGTCTGTACCAAATTTTATTAAAATCACTTCAGTGTTTTAGGCGTGAAAGCGTAAAAGACAAACAGACAGACAAACAGAGAGACAGAGTTACTTTCGCATTTATAATATTAGTAGGGATATTATAATCATCTTTTTAATACATACGATTTGTAACTTAGTAGTAGTTTAGAATGGGAACTGGAAGTTACATGGTTTTTTCAAGTTACTATCATGCATGTAGTGTCGAGTTTTACGTTAACCTTGAACGTATTTCTGATTGATTAACTCACACTAAAGGTACGTAATATTTCTAATGTAAATAAATCGTTTATGAGGAAAATATGATCGGACGCTTGAAGGATGCTGGTATTTCTGTGAAACAGTGAATAGAGCCTTTGGGTTTTTTTATAAGTGCGCTAAACATATTATAGTTCTTTGTCAATAATCTTATATATATATAAAAATGAATTGCTGTTCGTTAGTCTCACTAAATCTCAAGAACGGCTGAACGGATTTATCTTATCTTAGTCTTGAAATGTTCGTGGAGGTTCAGGGAAGGTTTAAAAGCTAAAAAAAAATTAATCATAACCGGGAAAACCCAAAAAACGGCCCTTTTCTATTTCCAAAACAAACGTATTTTTGACATTAGATTTGACTAATATGTCAATCATTCTGTTACACTTCAAAACATTGAGATTTATGGCTTAAAGGTAAATTCCAACAAAAAAAATTATTATCGATTGAGGCAGTACGAAGTCTGTCGGGTCAGCTAGTTTAATAATAAAAAGATGATTTATATAAAGAAATCTAAATTTTTATAGTATTGAAATTTGTGAATTTCTAAACCGGTTTTTATGA